AGATAGATAGATAGATAGATAGATAGATGGATAGATAGATGGATAGATAGATAGATGGACAGATAGATAGACAGATAGACAGATAGATAGACAGATAGACAGATAGATAGATAGATAGATAGATAGATAGATAGATAGATAGATAGATAGATAGATAGATAGATAGGTAGACCACACAGTCACTACTTTCATTTCCCGCCTCCCCAGGTGACTCCAGTGAGGAGAAAGAGGAGGAAGAGAGGGAGGAGGAGGAGTGCCGGCCCAGTCTGAGGCTGACCTTTGACCTTGACACCAGCGACTCTTCGCCCAACAAGTTCTGGGTCAACAACACCGGGGTCAAGGTCGCACAGGGAAAAGCTTACTTCAACGGCACAGCTCGGCTGACGGTACCAGGCCTGTCCAACGTGGGGATGGGACAGACAGGTGAGTGGGACATACAGGTGGGACATACAGGTGGGTGGGACATACAGGTGGGACATGCAGGTGGGTGGGACATACAGGTGGGATATACAGGTGGGACATACAGGTGAGTGGGACATACAGGTGGGTGCGACATACAGGTGGGTGGGACATACAGGTGGGTGGGACATACAGGTGGGACATACAGGTGGAACATACAGGTGGGACGTATAGGTGGGACATACAGGTGGGACATACAGGTGGGACATACAGGTGGGACATACAGGTGAGTGGGACATACAGGTGGGACATACAGGTGAGTGGGACATACAGGTGGGACATACATGTGGGACATATAGGTGGGACATACAGGTGGGACATACAGGTGGGACGTATAGGTGGGACATACAGGTGGGACATACAGGTTGGACATACAGGTGGGACATACAGGTGGGTGGGACATACAGGTGGGACATACAGGTGGAACATACAGGTGGGACGTATAGGTGGGACATACAGGTGGGACATACAGGTGGGACATACAGGTGGGACATACAGGTGGGTGGGACATACAGGTGGGTGGGACATACAGGTGGGACATACAGGTGGGTGGGACATACAGGTGAGTTGGACATACAGGTGGGACATACAGGTGGGACACACAGGTGGGACATACAGGTGAGTGGGACATACAGGTGGGACATACAGGTGGGACATACAGGTGAGTGGGACATACAGGTGGGACATACAGGTGAGACATTATATTTCAATGTATTCTGACAAGCTTCTGCCTTAATATTCAGCACAGACACCCCGTCCTCTTTTTTACTTCTTCCCCCCCCCCCCCTTCCAGTGTACGTGCTGATCAAGTACAAACAAACAGACACACTGGGCAGACAGACTCTCGTTGCCAATGGCGACTGTGCCGTGCGTCAGTCTATGGCGGTGTGCGCGGGCAAACAGGAAGTGACGTTCTACGCCGAGACAGACAGACAGTTGGCCCCGGCACGTGTGTCTGTGTCTGCTCGCGTGAGTATATAATGTGTCTATCTGTGTGTGAGTACACGATGTGTCTATCTGTGTGTGAGTACATGATGTGTCTATCTATGTGTGAGTACACGATGTGTCTATCTGTGTGTGAGTACATGGTGTGTGAGTACATGATGTGTCTATCTATGTGTGAGTACACGATGTGTCTATCTGTGTGTGAGTACACGATGTGTCTATCTGTGTGTGAGTACATGATGTGTCTATCTATGTGTGAGTACATGATGTGTCTATGTGTGAGTACACGATGTGTCTATCTATGTGTGAGTACATGATGTGTCTATGTGTGAGTATATGATGTGTCTATCTGTGTGTGAGTACATGATGTGTCTGTGTGTGAGTACATGGTGAGTCTATGTGTGCGTGAGTACATGATGTGTGAGTACATGATGTGTCTATCTATGTGTGAGTACATGATGTGTCTATCTATGTGTGAGTACATGGTGTGTGAGTACATGATATGTCTATCTGTGTGTGAGTACATGATGTGTCTATGTGTGAGTACATGATGTGTATATCTGTGTGTGAGTACATGATGTATGTGTGTCTGTGTCTGTGTCTGTGTGTGTGTCTGTGTCTGTGTCTGTGTCAGCCCACGTGGGTACATGATGTGTCTATCTGTGTGTCTGTAAGTGTATCTGTGAGTGTGTCTAAGTGTGCTGTGTGTGTGTGTTTCAGGCCGGGACCTGGCAGCGTGCAGTGTTTGCGCTGGACAACGGTCAACTACACGCCTATGTGGACGGACACACGGACAGCACACCTGTGGAAGGTGAGGG